ATAAGTAGCAGCCGTTAGAAGGCCGGATCGCCATAGGTGGACGATCCAAGTGGAACAGCCAGAGAAGGTTAAACTGATTAAATAATTTGCGGCCCTCGGTAAACCGAACTGTAATTTCTGAAGCAAACGGGCAGTCCATGGAAAATACGGAACGGCCATAATGCATAATATCTGGAGTTCTGTGTAATACACGGGGGTTTTTGAGGAAGTGAATAATCCGAAGATTCATGTGGGACAATTTCCTCCCCTTGAATTTCATGTTTTCTCTTCTATCAAAATACAGGGTCAAAGTTTTCATCCACTACCCTCTAGATTCAGCAATTAGACATTTTCATCGTCGCTCAAGTAGGAAACTGCGCCAGTTACTTCGTTTACAAATTTATTCTTTTTAATTCAACTTCAACTCGATAATATTTGCCAAGTGCTAGTAGTAGTAAGAAGGCCCCGTTCTGCAAATTTGTAAGAAAGTTGTACAAATAACATTACAGCATTATGACTTACATCGGTCACAATATTCAAGCCCAGGTATGAAGCATTTGTCAATGTATCCTTCTCAACCATGTCAATATTTGCGTGTTGTAAAAGTTTTTCAAGATTTTCTTCCGTAATGCCTGAAAAAACTTGGGGAAAAAATAATCCGATAACAGAGAAGGACTGAACTTCCGTACCTAAGAATACCCACAATTATTTTCGCAACTTTTTTCGTTTAAAACAATTTTGGCACCTGAACTGACTTGATGGGATGGGAAATTTTGCTCTGATTGTCTGGTTGGGAGAGCCGCAAAAAGGATTCCGGGGATAGAGTAGATTTCGAGGTTCTGGGGATATAAAGAAGATAAGTGGTTCGATTCTCTCAAGGTCTACACTTATTTGCAAAAAAAAAACCACATTAATTACCCAAACTAATGTAAAATTCAACAAGAGAGATGCAAAATTTGACCAAAAAGGTATAAGTAACAAAACAACAAATTTAGAAAAGTTAAATTTTCGGGCTAAAAATGCAAAAAAAAAGATACAACAGAAAGACCAAGAGGAGAGGTTTGGCAATTAGGCATGTTGTAGAAATTTTAAAGATACAAACAGTGAATATTTTTGGCAAAGAGATTAGATGAGAAGTTGACTACATCACTTATGAAGTATAAAGCAAAATATATTGAAAAGCAAACCATTTTTTGATAAAATATAAAGCAAAATAAGTCGAAGACGATCGCATGGCTCAACTGCTGGATCGATCAACAATGGTACCATCAGTTTCATTGGATCTCTTACGCGCTCACCTTCCGCATCAACTTGCATTGCCAGATCCTGGAAAAATAAGCTTCGATCTTGGTTTTTTTCCAAGAAATGATCAGTTTAGCAAATTAGCGCAAGACAGTTGCGGGAAAACTCCCCCACCAGCTTACTTTTAAACAGTTCTCGGAAGAGGAAGCCATCGAGAGCCTTGCCAGCGGTTGGCTGCTTTTACCACGTGCAACCACTCGGGACCACTTTCGCGTGCTTCCACCTTTGACAGAGAGTGAATACGGGTAGGGGAGAGAGGTATGGGTAATTCCGCCCCATATATTAAGTCATATATTAAGTTATAGGTACCATTTCCATACACATACCTGTTCAACCTTGCACAATTTGTCGATACCCTGCTGATATTTACGCATGCATTCTTCGGCCAAATGAAAGTGGGTACTGAATTTGTTCAATTCTTTTTGGTATTGTGGCATTTTTTTGATCATCATTGACAGGTCTGAAAATGAAATTTCAATGAACAAGTTGCACAATACGACTTCATGGCGGATCGAAACATTCCTTTTCAGTGTTTCGTGGTCGTAATTTTCACGAGACATTAAATTTCTGAAGAATTTTCAATAAAACTATTGAAGAATTTTCAATATCACCGTTGTGTAAAAATGTGAGCGATGTCCTCCAACGAGGGCTGCTCAGAAGCAAAAGTAACTGATTCTGGGTATGTGGTGGGCAAAAAATAAAAATTACCACAAGGAGTGCCAAATCAAATCCACAAAAAACAAACCTTTGATACTTTTTGCATCCGCTTTCATGCCTGCTTTACTTTCCGAGAATTTTTTCAACCCCTTTGTGACTTCCTGTGAAACGACAGCAATATGTTTGTGACGATTTTCCACCCACAAATCATCGTTTTCATCCAACAAAACTTCTTTATCAACGCTATCATTACCACCGGTTTCGTAGCTGTAACACAAAAAACCTATAAATACTACGATCCAAATAATGGTATCAGTCTCTGGATGAGTTCCGCTTCAAGCGTAATCATTGCCAGGCTCCTTAATTCTGAATAATTTGCGGCCGCTGGAAGGCCACCGAATCGCAGTCTTAAAAACAAGTGGACGGTCCAAAGTAAACAAAATGTGAAGCGGCCAGGGTCCGAAAACTTAAATCTAGATTGGATTAGTCTTAAAAAGGCAAAGTTATGATGTAAAGGGGAAGGCTGGTACAGAGCGATACATGTGGCACAGAATCAAAAACTCTGGTTTACACCTAGTACATCGTATACAAGCACCTTTTCTTTTCTCAAGGCCATTCAAGTTAGCTAAATTTCCCTTGGCATGAGTACCTCTCACTGAATTACAGCAATTCATCAATTATTAGCAAATGAAGCAAATTCTACGTAGAATAATTGACCAACTGTAATAGAAAGTTATAATAGGAAAGAATGGAAAAAAGAGAGGAGAAAAAAGGGAAAAGGAAAGTGAGGGATGAAAATTAGAAAATTTGTGAGATTATCAAAATGGTAAGAAATGTTTCGGTCCATTAAGTCGTATATATTTCTTAGAAATCATAATCCAGCTGTCTAGCTGTGCAATTTCTAGCAAATCTCCCAGTTGCTTTGACCAGTGGTCATTCTGTTGGCAGCCTTAAAATTCGCTTCGCTCTCAGAAAGCATCCAGTGCTTTTTAGGGCAAAAGCAATCAGGCATTTTGTTCATACTTTAGGACGATTCAAAAACGAGAAAAATTTAATCCAGAAATGCTAAAGCATCAAAAAATTCTTACCGATATACATCATTTTCAATATCCAAGAGATCGTGTGTCATGGCTTGCAGTGTTAATTCATGGAGCAATGGACTGGTCGCATCGAAACCACGATCCAATATCATCAACTGACTACGGGCTTTGTCTGCACCTTCACCCATCGATGGATCATCGGCTTTGTAAGCATCCAGCTTCTGCTGTACCAAATGCGCTAACTCGACATTTCTCTCAAAATCAGCACGATACCTGAAGAAAAATTCCATTAAAAATATGAAGAAATAAGCAAAAAAACCACGATTACTGAATTTTCTAGATTTATGCTTTGTCCTACATTTTAATAAGAATTTTCTTTTTTTTTTTTAACTAAACTCCTTTTATCTCTTTCTTTATTATTTCTCATCTTTATTCCCTTCTTCTCTTAACGCATTCTCTTTACACTCATTCTGAGCGTTCGGAAACAAGCATGTTATAAAAAAGGCGGAAAGGAAGCTGTTCGGTTGATTCCACGCTTTGTTTTGCCAATGTTTACAGCTAAGGGGTGAAACACAGACTGCTCTTCAATATATCCATCGGCATCCCTACCATTTAGATCGATCAATTATCTCTGATCCTAAGATCCTAATACTAGCTTTAATTCTATAAAAGTGCAGGAAAATCATCTGTACCTTTGCTGGCATAGCTACTTATATTCCCTAGGCTCCCGATCAAGCTTCCTCGAAAGGCAGTTAGTGATAATCCTCGTGAACAGTTTGCAAATATAACAGAAAGCAGTAAGTCTGAGCAAATAAGTAAACAAAGCTAACTGAAACGTAAAAAATAAAAGGCTTCAAAAGTACCTTAATACTGGATACTCGCTTAGAGTAGCACATACAGTAGCAATCTGTTCGGCGATACGCTCCAAATTAGTCGTTAAGTCACCCTGCTTCTGTGCATTATAATACAGGAAGAATGTATCTGGTGAGTCAAGTGAGTAGACCTAAAATTTTTAACAATTTCAACCATCATGGTCATCTGGAGAACCAGTGGAACAAAAAAAACCATCAATTTATAGTCTGGTTCTCTAATTT